GTTATAGAGCATCACTTACAGGTATAATTCCATTGACATCAACCTAAACCAATCATGTAGTCGGTCGTGATCTTAAGCTCTTTATCTCGRAAATTACATAATAATCGCAATGCCTATTTCCGAGTGGGGTGAGAGGGTGATTTGGAAATTAAATAATAATCGTAATGCCTAAATCCAACTTACATCATCCTTCACAAAGAAATAGAACGACTTGCATGTCTACAACTCAATACTTCTTAATGACATGTTTAACGGCAATAACATAAGCACATTGGCACCAATTCAACAATAAGATTTTTACATGAGTCCTTAATCAAATGAGATGTTCTCTCATACTARGGAAGAATTTCATATGAGGATCGTAAGGGTTTTATTTTTTTTAAAGCTTTATGATCAATAACACTTGAGAGTATGTATTCTATTTAGTGAACAAAAACCCCCCTTTAACTCATCCTAACATAATTAATGGAATTCTCAAGTTCATGCGTATTAGAACTAAAACATTCATTTCATCAAAGCAAGTAATTTTATAGAGATTAGAGTCTATAAGAAGTAAAACACGCCATCACAACTTGTATAGGGTTTCATAAACGAAAACCAAATGAACTCACCTTAGATGGTTTAGAGAAAACCAAAGTCTGGAACCAGCAGGTAAACGAGAGGAAACTCAAAAGTGGCAAGGCTGCATTCTTATTTCATGAGGCAGCAGCAACAGAAAACAAGGAGATAGAAGGTAGGGCATAACGACAAAACAGCACAGCAGCGATTACCGTTCGCTGTTGCTGTTTGATGTTGCTGTTGTTTGCTGTTGGCTGCTAGATACGGCTAACACAACTGCTGTCCGGCAAGGGGAAAAGGAGAAACAGCACAGCCGAGCTGCTGTTTGCTGTTGTTGTTAGGTGAAACATGGCGGCAGCAGGTGCAGGCAGAAAACGAAGAGACAGGATAGCAGCAACTACTGCTTGCTGTCCGCTATCGGCTGCTGTCCGATGCGGTCTAGAATGTGGAGGAGCCGAGGGGCAGGGGTGTGGCCGGGTTGCGAAAACAGGTGATCAACGGCTGGTGGCAACCACAGCAGCCACAGTTAGGAGGTGCGCAGGCAACCGCGGTTAGAGGGCCGCGCAGGCTTGGCCGGCGCTAAGGAGCTCGTACCAGCAGTCGCTGTTCTTCCCGAGCATCTCTTGCTTAGAACCACAACTCCTTCCCTTTTCCTGCAAACCAAGGTTACTCCTGTCTTCTTTTTTTCTTCTTTCTTTCCTTTTCTTTTTCTTCTTCTTCGTGCAGCAACCATCTCCCCTTCCTTAGTTTTTTTTTTTTAAACAGTAAGGCCCCCCTTTACCCACCCCAATTTCCTACCATATAAGAAAAACAATGGGTAAGGACCAAAAAGTAAGAGAAGGAATCATTTCCTAGGAAAAGAGGGTACACATCCAAAGAAAAGGTAGTAGCTACCCACCCCCCTTTTCCTCTTACACACGCCAAACACACAAATCAAACACAAATATATATGTACACACACATATATATACACATATATACATATATATATATATATATATATAATATACTCTTTTTTGAAAGACCCAAAAATACAGGTGTTACAATCCTCCCCATCTTGGATTAAATTTCGTCCTCGAAATTTTAATTCATGCGAATAGGTAAGGGTAACGCCTCTTCAAGTCATCTTCCGCTTCCCATGTCACGTTTGACCCTCGATGATGCTTCCATTTTACCTTGACCACGATAACCTCCTTGTGCCTCAACACCTTGGTCTTACTTTCCAAGATGGCTTCCGGTTCTTCCACACATCGGTTGCTCTCATTCACACGAATTTTAGAAAGTGGTATCACGCTATCTTCTTCCGCCAAACACTTACGAAGGTAACACACATGAAATGTGTTGTGGATTCCGGCCATTTCAAGTGGTAATTCTTGTTTATAAGCTTGAAGTCCTATTCTATCCAAGACTTTAAACGGCCCAAGGAAACGGGGGCTGAGTTTCCCACGTTTTCCAAAACGGATTACTCCTTTCCAGGGAGATACTTTTAGCATAACGCGGTTGCCTACTTGGAATTCTATGGGTCGGCTCCTCTTATCTGCGTAACTCTTTTGGTGAGCCTGAGCCGCCTTCAAGCGCTTCCATATACACTTCACTTTATCGGCCGTTTCCTGCACAATCTCAGGACTGACGAATTGCTTCTCACCCGCTTCTAACCAACATACCAGAGTCCTATATTTTCGACCGTACAAGGCCTCAAAAGGTGCTATCCCTATGCTGGAATGGTAACTGTTGTTGTAGGCAAACTCCACCAGGGGTAGGTGAGAATCCCAATTCCTGCCAAAGTCAATAACGCATGATCTAAGCATGTATTCGAGTGTTTGAATAGTCCACTCACTCTGGCCATCGGTTTGAAGGTGGTAAGCTGTACTCAATTTCACTCTAGTGTCTATCTCTTTCTGCAAGCCGCCCCAGAAATAGGAGGTGAATCGACTATCCCTATCAGACACTATTAACAGTGGTATATCATGCCTCGAAACTACTTCATCAATGTATAACCTGGGAAGTTTGTCCATTGGCAACGATTATTGCATTGCTAAAAAGTGGGCACTCTTTGTCAGTCGATCGACCACTACCCAAATCGTGTCATGGCCTCTGAGAGTCTTCGGCAGTTTGGTCACGAAGTCCATTGTAATATGCTCCCACTTCCATTCGGGAATCTCTAAGGATTGAAGACTACCATAAGGTCGTTGGTGCTCCGCCTTCACTTGCAAACAAGTCACGCACCTCTCCACATAACGAGCCACATCCAACTTCATAACAGGCCACCAATATGTCAACTTCAAGTCCCGATACATCTTGGTGCTACCCGGATGAATGGAGTATTTGGACTTGTGCGCGTCTTCTAGCAACATTTCGCGATTGCCTCCAATCTTGGGTACCCAAATACGCCCTTGAAACAACTTCAAGCCACGRCCATCCTCTGTCAGTAGTAAGCGTTGTTTCATCATTACTTCACTCTTAAGGTTTTCTCCCAAAAGTGCTTCAGACTGTGCCATTTTGATCTGATCGATCAGACTGGACATTACATCAATCCTGGTAAGCACGACTTTCGTCCCACTACCGTACTCCTTTCGGCTCAAAGCATCCGCCACTACATTCGCCTTACCCGGGTGGTATAGCAATTCACAATCGTAGTCTTTGAGCAGCTTGAGCCAACGTCATTGTCTCATGTTTAGTTCTTTCTGATCGAAAATGTACTTCAAACTTTTGTGATCAGTAAAAAGCATGCACTTGGTACCATAGAGGTAATGCCGCCAAAGCTTTAAGGCGAACACCATCGCTGCTAGCTCCAAATCGTGGGTGGGATAATTCTTCTCGTGATCCTTGAGTTGTCTCGATGCGTATGCTATCACTTTTTCTCTTTGCATTAAGACGCAACCCAACCCCATTTTCGAAGCGTCGCTGAAAACTACAAAATCTTTGGATCCTTTTGGCAAGGAGAGAATCGGGGCTTCACATAATTTTCTTTGGAGAGTTCTAAAAGCATTTTCTTGCTTCTCTGTCCAGATAAACTTCACATTCTTCCTAGTCAACGCTGTCAAGGAAGAAGCGACCTTGGAGCGACCTTGGAGAAATCTTGGATAAATCTCCTGTAATAACCTGCCAGACCCAAGAAACTTCGAATCTCTGATGGACTCTTTGGTGGTTCCCAGTTCATCAATGCTTGGATCTTGGATGGGTCCACCTTCACCCCATCTCGAGTGACAACGTGACCCAAGAATTGGACCTCTTTTAGCCAAAGTCGCACTTGGAGAATTTTGCATATAACTTCTCTCTCCTTAACACTTTGAGAACTTCTCGAAGTTGCTGTTCATGATTCGTCTCATCCTTGGAATAGATGAGTATGTCGTCAATGAACACTATCACTAACTTATCAAGGAACGGTCGGCACACTCGGTTCATCAAGTCCATTAATACCGCTGGTGCATTCGTCAAACCGAAAAGCATGACCAAGAATTCATAGTGCCCATATTGCGTTCTAAAAGCTATCTTCGACACATCATCTTCTTTTACTCGAACTTGGTGATACCCGAGCGAAGGTCAATCTTAGAGAAGCAACTTGCTCCTTGGAGTTGGTCAAAAAGGTCGTCTATCCTAGGAAGAGGATATTTGTTCTTCACGGTTGCCTTATTGAGCTCTCTGTAGTCTATAGACATCCTCATGGTGCCCTTTTTTTTTACAAACAAGACTGGAGCTCCCCACGTTGACGAACTTGATCTGATAAACCCTTTCTCCAAAAGGTCTTGTAATTGAGACATCAATTCTTACATCTCGGATGGCGCCAAACGGTAAGGGGCTCTAGCAATTGGAGCGGGTCCCGGAATAAGGTCGATCCGAAACTCCACCTGCCTATCGGGCGGTAATCCGGGTAAGTCTTCAGGGAATACATCGGGAAATTCATTAACCACATGCACATCTTCAATTTTTCTTTTCTCTAGCTTGGTATCCAACACGTACACAATGAACGAGGAGCATCCCTTAGCTAGACACTTACGTGCCTTTGCCATGAATAAGAGTACTACATTTCCTTTCCTCCCTTATCCATAGGCTAGCACCGCATCCCCGCCCGACAAAGGGATTCGGATCAACTTTTTAGAGCATAAGATTTCCGCTTGGTTCTAAACTAACCAATCCATCACAATTATGACATCGAATCTGCCTATAGCCATGGGTATGAGGTCTACCCGAAATTCCTTTCTCTCAATTCCCAATACGCAACTTCTAACAATCTCACGCACCAAAAATTGACAACCATTTGCTATCTCTATGATCAGTGCATCTTCTAATGCACTAGGGGGCGTATGCAAATGTTGATGGAATGTAGTGGACACAAAAGAACATGAAGCACCCGAATCAAAAAGTACGTGTGCAGGTAGGGAGTTAATAAGGAACGTACCCGACACTACATCCGTCGATGCCTTAGCTTCTTCTCTCGACATCTAAAATGCTCGTCCGGTGACTTTTGGGGTGCTCTCTTTCCTTCCTTGACTCCCTTCCGCTTTCAACTTATGGCAATCATTCTTGAAGTGACCTGGCTCTCCGCAGCCGAAACAGATGGGTCCCCTAATTGGATACTCATTTCGTGTGTGACTTGACTTCCCGCACTTAAAGCATTTTACGGGAGTAGGGTTAGTGATGCACGGGCCGTGATGTTTACTGCGGCACTTGGGACACCATCTAGCCTCTTTTTTGGGATGGGCTCCGTGATTGTTGCTACCAAAGTGGTTTGGCCTTTTGGATGGTGCGTAAGGCCCTTCCCACTTCCTCTTCTCTCCACTCGACATCCTTTCTTCTTTTTCTTTAACATAAACCGATTCCAAGACTTTGGCCTCTTCGATTGCCTCCGTGAGGGTAGAAGCTCTGAAGTTCCTAACCATCACCATCATGTCCACAGGCAGCCCTTTTAGGTAGGCTTTCATCCTATCCTTCTCCGTTGGGGCCACATATCCCACTAAATTTAGCGTTTCCATGAAGAGTAGGGTGTAGTCCCTTACTGACAAATTTTCTTTCTTAAGGGTTCTGAACTCTTCTTCGATGTGGTCCATTTCTTGTTCATTGCAATATTCTTCCATTACTTTTTCTTTGAATGTGGTCCAACTCATCTTGGTCAGTTCCGTAACCTCGATGGTTGAGATGAAAACGTTCCACCAGGTAAGAGCTGCACCCCTCAGCATTTGAGAGCCAAATTTCACTTTCTGCCCCTCATCACAGTCACAAGCCTATAAGGCTTGCTTGATTTCCCGAAGCCAATTCATGCATGCTACGGGATCGTTCGACCCCATAAATTCCGGTGGTTTGCAACATAAAAAGGTCTTGTAAGAGTAAACTCTACCCATTTATGTAGCCTCAATCATTGCTAGCTCCGGGGTTGGAATTCCATTTCCGGTACCCCCAGATCCCCCCATAGTTACATTCTCGGCCACTGCTTCATGCTTATGATTATTAACATCTCTGTCCTCCAACAGCTTCATAAAGAATTCTTGTTGTTGGGATTCATAACATTCATCATCTTCTTCGATTATCGGATTAGAGGTGGCATTGCCAACTTGGGGAGCCTGCTCAAGGGAAGAAGTATAGCGTTTACAAAACATTTAGCGAGATGATAAATAACAACCTATTAATCTAAACAATTCTATGTCTAGATTAAGAACGGGTGTTTCCACCATC